TCGGTGCGTGAGGTTTCGTCGACCTGCTGTGCGTCTTGCGAACTCGCGTCTGTTAGAATCAGTCCGGGTGTGTTGTCGGGGTTCTGTGGTGGTGTGCCAATAATTGGAATAGCCACATCGTTTTCTCCGTGGTCTTCAAGGTTGTTGTTCTCGACTTTGTTCACTGAGCTAGACATTCCGACCTGAAATCGAAGATCTTGGAAAAGAAGAAGTGTGAAAGATAACTTGTGTTGTGTGATGAAACCAGCAAGAAAATAATCACTACTCCCTCCGTTTCATATTAAATGAGACAGTTTGATTCGGCACGGAGTTTAAGAAAAAAGAAGAAGACTTTTGAAACTTGTGATCTTAAAAACTTAAGGGGTAAAAAGTTTGTGGGGCCATGACATTTGTGTGGCTATAAAAGCTTCTCATTAAGGGTAAATGGGTCAAATGAAAGAGTTTAAAGTTGAATTATTTCCAAATTTAGAAATGTGTTATTTGTTTTGGAACAGACTAAAAAGGAAAGTACCTCATTTAATATGAAACGGAGGGAGTATTATTTTTAGCCACATGGTGGGCGCCAAACTATTTATCGTAAAAATGGTAATGACAATTAAATTTATTGATGGGACTCTAAAAATATGTGATCTATTTTTATGCTAGTTGTTAGAGCTGCTAGATATGTGAAGCTTAACGACGAAATACGAACTAAAACAGGGTTATGATCAAATCGAGGGGCTTGCTGTCCGGGCCTCGGACTGACCGATGAGAGGCCTCGGGTCGATGCCTAGGCTCGGACTCGAGCTATCGGGGATAATCAAGAAAGGGCTAACAATTAGGATATAATTAAAGGAGGCTCTTTATGGCCAATATCAAGCAATAAATGAAGAACAAGTATGAAAGCAATAAATGAAAGAGGTAGTCTCGAGCGAGTAAGTTAGAGAGAAAAGAGAGAGAAAGAGAGTTGTTATTGATCTTATGTAGAATAGATGGAGCAACAGCAGCACCCTACAAAGTGGTGAGGACCCCCTTTATATAGGAGGGGAATCCTGCCATAGTACAAAATACACTAATTGTAAAAGCATGGAGATGGGATGGCTAGACGCGATGCCTTGATACAGGCTCTGGATAGGCCGGTTTTCTCATACTTAGCCGTGTGCCTTGGGAACTCCTCATTTTACTCTAGCCTCGATCTACGTTCTCTTTAAGTTGGACCTCGACGAGCTCGGAGGGAGGGAACTCAGTCATAGCTTCACGTCCTCGGGGTCTCGAGGTGTTCTTCTGAAGTGACTCGATAGCAAGAAGTTAGACCTTCTGATTTCGCCGCATACAAATATAAATCAACTACGCTCACTGGGCGTATATACAGACTCTAGAGGGGCTCCTTCAGTCCAAGCGCTCTAATAATCCAGATCCAGGCATAAATCAATAAAATAAGCTGCAGCGTGCAACCCCATCCCATAAATATCACTCACAATCAATCCCTCGGCCTCACTCAGTCATCAATCTCTCTAGTCTTTCGGGCTCACAATGTCATGAAACTAGCCCAAATTGATGATATGATGTATCAATAAATTGCAACAGAGACGGAGATATGATATGCAATGAATAAATATGACTGAGTTTGAAATTTCAATTTAATCAATAAGTAACAACAAAGAACGACCACTATGGGTCCCAACAGTACCATCATATAGCCTGATTGGCAGCTCAATTACTTTATCACATGAAGAAAACATGGGCAACAACAAGATAAATCAGCTATACAGTTCCATGGAATAGACCAAGTCCTAGTTCTTATGGTGCACGCCCACACGCCCATCACTTAGCATGTGCATCACCTCAACACCAATCATACAATATATAATCCGGGATTTCGTACCCTCAGGGCCAAGTTTAGAAGTGTTACTTACCTCAAACCACGCAAATCTCTACTCCAACACGCCCTTGCCTCGTGAAACGGCTTCCAAATGCCTTGAATCTAGTCACAAACAGTTCAATACAATCAACACGAGCTAAAGGAATCAATTCTATAAGAAAATACTAAGCTCTTAATTAAAAGTAAAAAAGTCGACTCAAAGGTTGGCCCACGGTCCACGTCTCAGAATCGGGTAAAAGTCACAAAATTCGAACACCCATTCAATCACGAGTCCAACCATACCATAATTACACAATTTCGATACAAAAATCTAGATCAAAACCTCAAAATTTGGCCTAAGGACTTTCCTCCATCCCCCCTCCCCCCCATTTTCCACCCCAAATCACTAATTTAATGATGAAATCAAAGGCATAAACATGGAAATTAACAAAAACTAGGTAAGAATCACTTACCCCAATCATCCGTATGAAAATCTCTCCAAGAATCGCCTCTCACAGAGCTCCCAAAATTAATTTTGTGTTATGAACTCAAACCCTCATTTTTGAAATATTCAAGTTCTGCCTAGTGATCCTTAATCGCGATCGCAGAAATATCCACGCGATCACGATCACATAAATCCTCACGCGAACGCGAAGCATTTACGCGACCGTGAAGAGCAAATGCATGAGAACCAGTTGCCTCCTCACCTCTTCGCAAATGCGGAAATGCCCACGCTGCGAACCCATAGGGAAAAATCACCACTGCCCCAAACAAGCCTATGCGATCGTGGACCTGTCCACACGATCGCATATAAGGAAAGAAGATACAGACACAAGAAAATCTTCAGCCATAACACCAAGTCCAAAATCGATCCATTAACCATCCGAAACTCACCTGAGGCCCCCGTGACCTCAACCAAACATACCATCAAGCCCCAAAATATCATACGAACTTAGTCGAGCCCTCAAATCACATCAAACAATGCTAAAATCACGGATTGCGCATAGATTCAAGCCTAATGAACTTTGAACTTTCAATTTCTACATTCGATACCGAAACCAATCAAATCACGTCTGATTGACCCCAAATTTTGCATACAGGTCATAAATGATACTAAGGACCTACTCCAACTCCCGAAACCCCAATCCGAGCCAGGTAGCCACAAAGTCCACTCTCGGTCAAACTTTCAATTTTCAAACTTTTGCTATTTCAAGCCTAATTTTACTACGGACCTCCAAATCACAATCCGGACACACTCCTAAGTCCAAAATCATCCAACTGAGCTAACAAAACTATCGAAACTCCATTCCGGAGTCGTTCACTCATAAGTCAACATCTGGTCAGCCATTTGAACTTAAGGTTTCAACCTTGAGACTAAGTGTCTCAATTCATTCCGAAATCTCTCCGGATCTGAAACAACTACCCCCGACAAGTCACATAACAACTGTATGTCACAAAATGAGCAGTAATTGGGGGTACGAGGCTACAACTCTCAAAATAACCGGCCGGGTCATTACATCTATCTATAAGAGTTGCTTGATTCGCGCCCATCTTTAATAGGACTAGACTAATGTTTGGGCATATCTTCGTCCCATTTCATGAATGCATCACATTGAAAATTGACTCATCGGATATTTTAGTTTGTTCCAAAAAGAATGACACACTTTTAAATTTAAAAATAATGATATTTACGCTTCTAGTTTTACCTTTAGTGAGAAGTTATTATAACTATACAAATGTTATATCATCTTTAAGTTTCAAAATTTTTACAGTCACACAAATGCTATGACATATTTAAAATTATGAATTTTAAATATTTTTTCTTTAACTCCGTGCTAATTCAAACTATGTCACATAAATTAAAACGGAGAAAGTAGTTATTACTATATGCAAATTCTTCTAGAGACGATTATTTATCCCAATAACCTCAAAGTCAAAGGTACAAATACTCAACATGTCTTCAAGGATCTGAACAGTCCACTTGTTGACCATCTTTTAAGGAAGGAGAGTTGGGCTAAGCTCAACCTGATTACTCATAGTCTTCTAGACTGACAACCAAAATGATCTGTAAGTTCCTCTATCAGATATAGAAAAGTCATAGTTATATGATTATGAATGGTAAAAAATGAAAATATTACCCTATTTGCCTAGATATTGCTTTAGGAGTCTAAAATGGTAATGTGATTACCAAATTGATCATATTAGCCTTAGATGATTACTTTAAATGCTTAATTAAGAAAATAATTAATAAATTGATTCGAGAAAAGAAAACAAAATAAATTTAATTGTTTTCTGTTCTCGCCACCATAATATTTGAAATATCACTTGAAAGTATCGGCAAATTTGGTGCACCAGCTAGATATTACTCATAATATACTAGAGGTATATGCGTTTGGCATAATGGAAAATATTTTTCATGCGAACCATATTATTTTTTGGTATTCGGTCAACTTAAATTGTGAAATGGGGAAAATATTTTTAATCAAATAGGCGATAATGGCATCTCTAAACGCTATGTCGTTAACCTTAATTAAAAAATACTATGATTAATATGCAATTCTCATAGCTTTTCCTACATCTTGTGCGATTACTATATATCGAGAACTTTTTTAAAAAAGACAAATTCTGAAACATGTTCCAAATATATTTTCTAAGGATATAAGTAACATTTTTCATAGGACTTACTTTCCATGGAATACATTTTCTACCAAATGCACATGTTTCACAAGTTAATCATATGATCTTCCTATAACTCCAATAACATATACAAGGAGTATGATTTTTCAAATTTCAATTTGAATTTCAGTGATTTACAAATTTTTAAGAAAGTAAACAATTTCTTTAAAATCAGTTACTTTTAATCAGCTCATTTTAGATTTTACCAATTTAAAGTAAAGCAATTTCCTTAAAATCAGATTACTTTTAATCAGTTTATTTAAAATTTTACGAAATTAAAGTAAAGCAAATTCTTTAAAATCATATCACATTTAATAGTTTACTTTTAATTTTCAAATTAGCTCAATCAACATGAAATTTCCTAATTTGACTACATTAACAATTCTTGTTAGCCATCTATAAAAGCCACACACCTTCATAAGTTGGTACTCAATCATATATTTTACTCCAAAAGTAAGGGTTGTTTTAGGTTTGGGTGTCAAATATGGCTAGAAAGAAGCTTAGGCATACTAGAATCTGTAGTGAAAGTGTGAGAAACTTCATCCTAAAAAAAAGAGCAACAAGTTTGTTTAAGAAAGCAGAAGAGTTTTCTATTTTTTGTGATGTAGAAGTTGCTATAATTATTTTTAGTGAAGGGGAAATCCAACCCATTGCTTATCCATCTATAGGTCATGCTAAGGAAATATTAATGAGGTATTTAGTTTTTCTGAGGCTGAGAGGCATAAGAGGTTAGATAAACATGAAACATATCTTTTAGAAAAAGTTAATGAGCAAGAAGAAAAAATTAGCAAAGTTGAGAAAATGAATGAAGGGAAGGAAATGGATATCCTCTTCAATCAACTTGTGGAGGAAAAAAATATTAATGAACTTGATGCTAGACAACTTAAAGGTCTATTAAAGTTGTCTTCTGCTAAGATGGCTAAACTTAATGAAAGAAAGAAACAAGTCATTCAACCATCTGAATCTCCATATCGTCCCTCTGATTTCAAGCTCAACAACAACAACAATCCAGTATAATCCCACTTAGTGGGGTCCGAGAGGGTAGTGTGTACGCAAACCTTACCCCTACCCTGGGATAGAAAGGCTGTTTCCAAATAGACCCCCGACGTCCTTCCCTCCAAGAACTTCCCACCTTGCTCTTGGGGAGACTCGAACTCACAACCTCTTAGTTGGAAGTGGGGGTTGCTTACCTCTGATTTTAAGCTCGTGAGCGAAAATTTTGCTAATCAAACTATTGATTTGCAGGATGTCGCCCCAGCAACAAGTTTAATGGATGATTTGATTAATGATCCGTGGTTTGTTGAGAATATGGCTGCTAACCAAAATGAGTTTGGTACAGATGAGTTTTGCACAGAGCCTGCACCAGAGGAAGGCAATGACAACAATGCTGGAGATGATGGAAATCCTGAGGATCTCAATTGAGATAATGTAATAGTTATGTTGTTCAATCATTGTTTTTTCATGTTGCTTTTTTGATAGTCGTTGTCTTAATTGTTGCATTTTCTATCCATTTCATGTTATTTTAGAAGTAAGCATTCATATAACCGATCTCAATTTGTTTGGGATTGAGTCATATATTATTATTATCGATCTCAATTTGTTTGGGATTGAAGCATAGTTATTATTGTTCTCATGTTATTGTCCTTTTTATTTCAATTATAGATGAAGGTTATTCTATTTTGTTGGAAAACTAAACTAATGTTGTTCAGTTAACCAAGTTATTTGTGTAAAACTTTTGACTATGTTGAATCGTTATTTCTAGTCATTTTCTCTTTTCCTTCACTTTTAGAAACTTATTTTATTTGACACAAAAGGTACTCCATGTTCAATGTTAATATTTAAAAGAATGATACTGATTTACATGTAAATTAAGTTAGATGTGAAATGAATAGAGAAATAGTTGTTCACTTTTATAAGGTTATTGTTTGCTTTAAATCGAAAAAAAAGTCAATACAATTCAACAGAATCTAAGAAATGATTTGCTTCACTTCATATAATGATAAATCTTTTTCTTTCTTAGCACTTCACACGCTTTGTATATTAGGAGAAATTTTGGTTGGGCGGCTTTATCTTATAGGGTGACTTGTCAAATATTTACCTAATTAACTTGGCGGCTAGAGTATTGATTTCATAAGGCAAAATTCATTAGTTTATCCATATCTCATCAGGTTAATAACGCTTGTACTAATGAGATCATAACAACATTTTAGTCAATTATATTTTTCACCTAAATTTTTTCAAAGTTGGACGAGATCAATATTATCCACTCAAAAAATATACTTTGAATCTCCTATTGTCATTTGAATCTTAAGACTTAACACTATTACAACCAAGAGATATGGTGAGTTAGCCCAAATCTCTTCAAACTTAATTAAAGGTCTAGAATTTGAGCCTTAAAATAGAGAATTTGTTAGTAAGGAGCGCTTTATCTCCTTTAGTGGATCTTTCTGGCGCGGATCTGGATTTGTCAATACCAGTAAGTCTCTATTGGAATTAGATAAAGATTATAATTAGTAATGCTTAGTTTATTAGATTTAGTATCTTTTAGTTTTTTAAATTCATATCTAATTGAGTTTCATAGTCCAGTCATCCATTTAAAGCCCCGTAAAATTTTATAAGTTTTTAAGACTCAAAGTGCAGCAATAACGAATAAAAAAATATTTTGCGAGCCAAAGAGGGCTACAAACTAGTACTGTAATGATCGGACTAGTCGTTTTGAGTTTTATCACCCCATTCGACGGTTTGAGAGTTTGACTAGCTTCATATGATGCATTATGACTTGTGTGTATGATTGGTTTCGATGTTCGAGAGATTAGAGATTGATTTGAAAGAGTGACTCTCAATTTGAAAGCTTTAAGTTGGAAGAGTTGACCAAGGTTTGAATTTAACGTTAACGACCTCGGAATCAGGATTTGATGGTTTTGATAGGTTCATATTGTGATTCTATACTTTGGCATATTTACCGAAATTTGACAATTTGAAATATTAGAGAGTTCATAGGTCTGACTGGAAGTTGACTTCGGTGTTCCTATTATAGTTTTAAAACCTTGTATAGGTTCTTTTTGTTTATTGGAACCTGTGTGCAAAGGTTGGTTGTGATAATGTCTAAGTGTGATTCGGACGAGTTCAACTAAGTTTGAATGTTTGATAGTTAAGATAAGGATTGATCTTGGATTCTTGGTTTAATTGTTGTTTATGATGTTCTGAGCCTTGAAAAAAGTGGATAAGGTATTAGGACATGTTGAAATAATTGGATGAGGTCCCGTGGTGCTCGGGTCTATTTCGAAGTGGTTTCTGACCATTTCGGTTGAGTTTTACATAACTGATTTCAAATGTCTCTAATGAGCTTCATGATCAGGGGAGGTGCCTCATCTCGTAGAGTAATTTTGGAGTTCGCGGAGAGCTAGGGGCAGGAGCATCATTTTCGCATGCAGGGGGTTGCATTTGCGATAGTGTGGAGTCAACTAGAGGTTTGTCCTTCACGTTTGCGTAGTGTAGCTGAAGACGGAGGCTTGTTTGGACTTCACAATCGCGAAGGTACTTCCAGGATTGAGATGAAGGAGTTGTGGGAGAGGTCGATTTGTGCTTTGTGAATGTGAGACTTGGGCCGCGTTCTCATAGGTTACCCCCAAGACAAGCTATTTTAACTGTTTATTTCGGAATTTTACCAATTCTTTCATATTTTAAGTCTTGGACTTTGAGAGGAGGAGCCTTTTAAAGAGCAATTTCACTATTACATTGGAGGTAAGGAATTTTAACTTAGATTTAGGTTGGTGTTGAGGTGACGCATATGCTAGGTGAAGGGCGTGTGGGCGTGCACCGTAGTAATTGTGATTCGATTGATTCTGTGGTACTGTGTAGTCATCTAACCTTGCTATTATTCATGGTTACTCCATGTGTTAGAGAAACTGATTGATTATTCATGTTAGAGACCATGTCTAAGCTATATGCTGGTACTGTTGGGGACCCATATAGGTCATTTTTTTGTTGTTGAGTTATTTGCTTAAATTACAGTTATGCACTCGATCGCATTCATCATTTGCATATCATATCTCAGTCTCTATTATTATTTATTGTTACATCATATATCATTATTTTGGGCTAACTGGCATGAGTGTTGTGAGTCCGGGAGACTGGAGAGATTGATGACTAAGTGAGGTCGAGGGCCTGATTGTGAGTGATATTGATGGGATCTGGCTGCAGTCGTAGCAAGTATTATTGATTCATGATAGGATCGGGCTACACGCCGCAATAGGTATTATTGATTCATGATGGGAACGGGTTGCATGCTGCAGCAAGTATTATTGATTCATAATGGGATCGAGCTGCATGCCGTAACAAGTATTATTGATTCATGATAGGATCGTGTTGTGCGTCACAAAAGGTTTATTAGCGCTTGGGCAGGATCCGCCCCTCTGGAGTTTGACATACCATCAATAAGCGTAGGTACCGTATAGTGCCGAGTGACTGAGTGTGATAAGTGAACGTTGAGACAGTCAGATTGAGTACTTTGAAAGTGGGAGTACGTGAGGCCATTATTGTGATGCATTACATGTGACATGCACATTGACATGTAGATATAGAGATGCAACACTCCTCATATCAGTCATACTTGCATATTTTATCCATGTTGAGCTTAAACCGTTAACTTGAAAGTATGTCTACATTCTTATACTATGTACCAACTGGTTATGAGTTTTCTCTGAGATATTACTATCATTTTTCCTGTCATATCTGTACTGTTATAATCTGGATTTGGATTGTACCTTTCTGAGCTCGTCACTGCTTTCAGCTAAAGGGTAGTCCTGTTACTTATTGAGTGCATTGGGTCGGGTATACTCATACTATACTTTGCACTTCGTGTGCAGATCCAGGTACTTCTGGACACGGCAGTTGCTAGCTGTGGAGTTTTTATCTGCTTGGAGACTATTAAGGTAGCTGCTTTGGAATCCGCAAACCTCGAGTCTCATTCTTTTCAGTTTATTTGCACTATTCTATCCTTCTAGAAATTTGTTTTTAGCAGTTAGACTGTATTGTCATTTAGATGCTCATGTACTCAGTGACACCCAGTTTTGGGGGGATTTTGTATTGATTCGCATTATTTTCTTATCAGTTATTTATGAGATTTTCACTATTAAGTTTATTTCGTTATGTCTTCAATTTAAAGATGCGTGGTTATTGTGATTGTTGACTTGACTAGTATTGCAATAGGCGCCATTATGACATGTGCAATTTTGAGTTGTGACTAATTGGTATTAAATCCTAGGTTACATAGGTCTCACGAGTCATGAGCAGATTCAGTAGAGTCTTGTAGATCGGTATAGAGGCGTATGTACTTATCTTCAAGAGGATACCAAACCCTTAGGAAAATTCCAATTTCTTGTATTCTTCTCGTGCGAATTTGTTGATTCTAGAAACTAAACTTCTGTTATTTTATTCTATCACAGATAATGAGGACACGTACTACCAGATCAGGCAGACGGCCACCAGTACCACCAGCTAGGGCCAAGAGAGGCCGGGGCTGCAGTAGAGGTCGAGGTGCAGCTCGTACATCAACTAAATCCCAGTAGACCCACCAGTTGCTCTAGCTTAGGAGCAGATCCTAGATATGGTTGAGCCGGTGGGACCAGCTCAGGCACCAGTTGTGCCTTTTGTGATTCCAGGCCTTCAGGAGGCTTTGGCCTAGATATTAACTATATGCACTAGCCTTGCTCATGCGGTTTCAATTCAGACTGCACTAGCCACTTCTTAGGCCGGGGGAGGAGCTCAGACTCCCACTGCCCATACTCCAGAGCAGGTGGTTCAGGGACTTCAGATGATAGGGGTACTACCAGCCCAGACTGTTGTAGCTGCTCAGGCATAGGTGGGTCCACCGATGAGTGACGAGGAGCAGAAGAGGCTAGAGCGATTTGGGTGGCTCAAGCCTCCATCCTTCAGTGGGGCTGAGTCGAAAGTTGCTCAGATATACATGGATAAGTGCCAGCAGATTCTTCGCACGACGGGTATTCTAGAGACTAGTGGAGTCTCATTTACTACTTTTCAGCTGTCGGGGGCGGCCTTCATATGGTAGGAGGCTTATGGGTTGAGCAGGCCAGTCGGTGCTGCACCACTTACATGGCACGAGTTTTATGTTCTCTTCTTGGAGAAGTTTGTCCCACTGACCTATAGAGAGGAGTTGCGTAGGCAGTTTGAGTAGCTATGCCAGGAGGGTATGTTCGTGACCCAGCATGAGATGAGATTTTCATAGTTGGCTCGTCACGCGATTTAGTTGGTTCCTACAAAGAGGGAGAGGATTAGGAGGTTCATTGATAGCCTCAACTATGGACTGCACTTTGTCACGACTCAGGAGATTACCTCAGGTGCTAGGTTCGACGAGGTGATTGATATTGCTAGGAGGCTAGAGCAAGTCCGCATTTAGGAGCGTGAGGAGAGGGAGGCCAAGAGGCCTCGTTGTTTGGGTGGTTTCAACGATGTTTCTTCTGGAGGGCAGTACCACAGTAGGGTTCGCCCGTATAGGCCCGCTCAGATGGCTCGTCTAGTTCATCATGACGCATCATCTACCATGGTTCATATAGTGCCCGTACAGGTTAGTCATCTCTTAGTTCCCTCCAAACTCAGAGTTCATCTCGTGCTTCATCAGTTCAGGGTTCATCTGTGCCAGGTTCCTCTAGTAGTTATTCTGGTTCCCGAGGTCCGCTTCAGTACCTGCCGCCATTGTCAGAGCGGGGTTACTTCGAGTGTGGAGAGTTTGGTCATGTGAAGAGGTATTGTACCCACCTTTTGGGAGGTCCAATTCAGCAGAGGAGTCAGACTACGACTTTCGCACCAGTTAGTTCACAACCCGCTCACAAATAATCGGTCAGATTCATTATTTATTTTTTAACCGATATACGTAGAATATACACTGATTATACATGATTATACAAATATTATACATGAACTATACATATATTATACATTTGCCAGCTCTTTTTAAGTTAAGGGGTTGTATTGATGGTTATCCTATTGCTTAGGTTGATCTTAGGTAAAGCTATTTTTTAATTAAAGTTGTGAAAAATTTTAAAAGACATCAAATATAAGTTAAAAATGATAGTAGTACATACCAATCCATTAGTAACGTATTTGAGGAGGAGGCAAGCAACTGTGGAGCCAAGCAATTGGGCAATCCAGTAGAAGAATCCAGTCATGATGGTGATGTTTCCACCAACAGCTAATCCGAAAGTGACAGCTGGATTCAAATGGCCACCTCAACTATTGGCTTCTATGGAAACCCCAACAAACAATGCAAATGCATGAGCCACGAAAGTTTAAAAATTTACTAAGTTTGACTGTATGTTGACTTCTTAGCTAACAGGTTCAGATTTTGATGTTGAAATTTGGAATAGGTCTGTATCGCTATTTGAAACTCGTCCATAAAATTTGGTCTAATTCAGAATTGATTTGACATGATTCGGGCGCATAAATGTGATTCTAACATTCTTGAGTTTTACTTTGAAATTTCATTCTTTTTGAGGATTGATTTTTAGAATTAGATGTTATTTTGATTTGATTGCGCAAGCAAGTTCGTATGATATTATTACACTTGTGTGCATGTTTGGTTTGGAGCCCGAGGGGCTCGGGTGAGTTTCGGACATGTTTCAGATGAGTTTTGCTAATGTGAAGATAGCTGGTGCACTTCTGTTGCTGGTGTTCTGCTGCAGATCTCGCATTTGCGAGGTGTGGCTTGCAATTGTGAGCCTTGCTTTTGCGAACAAGAGTTTGTATTTGCGAGCATGGTCTGGGATTGGGTAACCTCGCATTTGCGAGGGTATGGTTCCCAATTGCGAACAGCTCAGGATCGTATTTGTGATCACTTGGTCGTATTTGCGATACCTGGCAAAACTGTACTCCTTCTCAATTGCGAAGGCATTGGTCGCATTTGCGAAGGTGAGAACTTCGCATTTGCGATCATTTTTTTGCATTTGCGACTTATGTGGCTCTGGCAGGGTTCACATTTGCGACCCTTTTCTTGCATTTGCGGCACCTGCAGCTGGGTAAAAGAGGGGGAAATAGGACTTAGCTCATTTTACACTATTTCTCATTCCTAAACACTCTAGAGGCGATTTTCCAAGAGGCTTTTCTTCCCAAATTCATTGATAAGTGACTTTAGTCTATTTTATTTCAATTACCCATTACATTTCATGAGATTTCAACATCAAATTTAGGATTTCCATGGTAGAAATTAGGGATTTGGGTAGAATTACAATTTTTTGTTAAATTGAGATTTAGACCTCGAATTGAGGTCGAATTTCAAAACAAATCACATAACCAGACTCGGGGATGAATGTGTAATCGGATTTTGGTTCGAATCTCGGGTTTTTACCAAGCAAGCCCGGGATTGACTTTTGTTGACTTTTTTAAAAATGATCAAAATTGAAGCTCTTTCATTTGTGGGTAGTTAATAACGCTTATTTTGAATCATTTGGTCAATAATTTGTTAGATTTGGTTGGTCTGAAGACTTATTGAAAAGGCAAGGTCGTGGTTGATTGATTGCTTGAGTTGCGAAGTGAGGTAAGTATTGGGTCTAACCTTGATTTGAGGGAAGTAGAAACCCTTGAAATACATGTTATATGAATTATGTGGGACACGGCGTATATGCGAGGTGACGAGTGTATATACACCGTCATGACACCCGCTTTCATGTTTTTGTTACTTCATGATATATCTTGTTTCGTACCTTAATTGCTACTTGCTTTATTGATTTTATGCTATAATTATTACTTGTCATTTAGCTATTCTTGTACTAAACTGTCCATTCCTTCCCTGATTCCATGCTTATTTGCTAATTGCTTCACTTGTATATCTAAATTGTCATATATCTTGCTTCCCTTATAGTTTTGTAGTATTTGTTGCTCTCTATAACGTGGTTTCACTTGTATGGGTTGTCAAATCGATAGATACCGATCAGTTGGTAAGGTTGAGACATTGGAGTTGTTAGAGATTCTTTGATTATTATGTGATTCTTTATTGCTTCGTACACTAACGCTCTTGATGTGGAAATTTTTGTAAATTTTGGTTGTTGAGTTGTTGTTGTTGATTGAAATTTGTTTGGGGAGCGAGTTGCACACCGCAATGAAAATTGAAAGATAATGAATTGAAATAGCGGAATAAGGATGGTTTATGATACCGATAGATAATGATATGTTGGGATCGGGTTGCGTGCCGCAACGGATTGTATATGTTGTTTTTGTTTGTGACTTTTGGATTTGTCTCGATATTTTGAGATGAGTTTATAAGACTTGTTATTCTGGGATCTCTGGTAGTTGGATTCCAAGTTCTTTTTTATGACTATACTGCATTATTTCCATTTTCTATCTTTCCTGTTATTATTGTTATTACGTACAAGTTTTTGTATGTGACCCGCCTTAGTCTCGTCACCAGTTCATTGAGGTTAGACTCGACACTTACAGAGTACATGAGGTCAGTTGTACTCATACTACACTCTACACTTCATACCAAAGTTGGTCCCAACAACGCTGAGTGAAATTTGCTCGGATCTAGCTATCAATGGAAACTTGAGGTATAGCTGCACGACGTCTGCAATCCTAAAGTCCCCTTCTATATCATCTTACCTGTTTATTTTGATCCAGACAGTTATGTTTTATTCAAACTATTATCTATAGTACTCCAGACGCTCATGTATTCGTGACACCAGTTTTGGGATTGTATTTGGATTACGACGTTTATTACTTATCACCTTATTTCAGACTATTCAGCTTTATTATTGTCATTTGATTTGAATTGTTAAAAATGGCTAATAATTATAGCTAATGTTGGCTTGCCTAGCAAGTGAATTGTTAGGTGCCATTACGGTCCCGAGAGTTTGAATTCTGGATCGTGATAATAACTTATGACTATTTATACTCATGTATGTTAAAATGTGAAATACCAATTTGCTAGAGAAGAAATTTATTAATGTGAGGTTAATTTAAAGAAAAATGGTTAATTGTTCTTTTTCTCTAGCAATAATTTTATAGAGACAATTCGACGAAATTTATTTATTTATTTTTTGGTTAACTCTCAGCTCTTTTTTATAATGAAATAATTCGCACACTGTATGGGTATGTATACTAGTAAGAGTAATGTAGGGGGGGGGGGTGAACCGCCCATCTAATAGAAATAACAACAAAACATATTGTTTGACACATTGGCCTCAAGCAAAAATTATCGGGGAAAAGGACCCTCCTTCACCATTTTCCTCAAACCCCTAAATTTTCACATGATCAATCATCCTAATTGCCATGATATAATCTTGGCAGCAATAATACAGCAAACACCAAGAATTTTAATATGGTGCTTAATCATCATAACAATAAAATTGGTTGCAGATTGATAAGGTGACATCCTAATTGTGTTCTTTGATTTTTAATCCTAATCAATTGGCTTCTCTATACGACGCCACATTCTTCCCAAGGTAGAAAATTTACATCATTTTTACTGGTCCTACTTTTTAATCCATTGTCTTATGGAAAGGCCAATTCCATCTTCAGCGTAATCCTTGTTTAGAATAAGGAAAAATGGAAACCGTCACGTTGTTTTATTATGCCAAATGAATATTGGGATATTGACATTTGAATAGGTCAAGAGATGTTGATTTTCTATAAAGGTTTTTGACAATGATCAAATTACAATTGGAATCTGAGGCTTTCATGAATCAGAAACAATTGGAAAAGAATCCAACAGAGGAAACTGTTATTCATAAATTTGGCGAGGACTTTGTCACATGTATTTACGTAGCCAAAGTTGCAAAAAATTTCCATGCCATAACTACGACATGGTCCAAGAATCTGACCAGCCACACCCTTTACATTGTAGTCGAAAACCTTTCTGAAGAAACACATTTCACATGCAAAATAGACCTAAAATCTTGGCAATTTTGGGGTAAGAAGGGTTTAAAATCGTTCAAGGTAGGTGAAAAACGCGCGGATATTTACTGGGATTTGAGGTCTGCTAAATTTTCTAGCAGGCCAGAGCCTGTCTCTGATTATTATGTGGCATTGGTCTCAGAAGGAGAAATGATATTACTATTAGGTGATCAAAATAAAGAAGCATTCAAGAGAACAAAGTCAAGACCAGCTTTGATGGATGTTGTTTTAGTGCACAAGAAGGAAACTGTATATGCAAAGAAATATTTTTGCACTAGAACAATGTTAGGACAGGGAAAAAAGCAACATGATATTACTATTGAGTGTGTCATTTCAGGGCCATCTGATCCTGCAATGTGGATTAGTGTGGATGGGACTGTGTCGATCCGAATCACGAATTTGCATTGGAGATTTAGGGGAAATGAGACAGTTTTTGTGGACAATGTACCTGTGGAGATATTCTGGGATGTGCATGATTGGTTGTATAGTGGCCCTCTCTCTGGCCCTGGTACATTCATTTTCAAGCAAGATAATAATGGTAGTGGTAAATTGGAACGCAAATATTCAAATTTTGAAGGCTATATTAGTGATGGAAGTTCTGATTTGCAATCTGCGTGCACAGAATTCTGGTATTTTCTTCATGCATGGAAGATTGAATAACTTGACTAATCTCTATGGGGTGATATCAAATAAAATTGAAACGATACAGTGAAGACTAAATGAGTAGTTCGTGCTTACTTTGGAGCTGTGAGACCACATACAAATGTGTTACTATTCTATCAATGTTGACAACGCTGAATTCCATGTTTTAAGCATATACGTGTTTTCTTAATTTTTTTTGTATATTAATCAATTTAAATCGATTTAACTTGTTTGCCCTGAATGACCTGAATATATTAGATTTTCCTACTGTTGGAGATCTCTTGGTGAAACAAAAAAACAAAAAAAAAAATCTAATTTCATTTGACTAATTGGGAACGAGCTAGGTTCAGAATATGACGTTCAACTTTCAGTAATCACGAACAAACTATACTTTGTTTGACCAAAAAGTGCTAAACTTTTCGTTAAACCAATTAATAAAGAAAATGGAGGATAAATCTTAGCCAAACATAATTAACTCTAGATCTAAGCATATTGAATATGAGAATCGAAGGAGGCCGAGCTTGTATAACATTTCTTAAGGTGATTGAAAGACATCAAACATAAATGATAAGCTTACATCTTTGATACATTGTTCCGTACTTGCAAGACCAAAGAAGGAAAAGACGAAAAATCGTTGATAACTATGAGATCTATCTTTATTCATTCAACAAGGATGATTACACAAGGCTGGAACCAAAATTTAGGCTTCTGCTTTGTTGTTGGGGGTCCTCTCCTGTTCTCATCTTTCATACATTGTTCCTCTTTTCTCTCGGATGAAACCCCCCCCCCCCCTTTCTTGCCTTCTTCTCTCACATATACATTACCAATTTTCCCTTTTATCCAACGGTCTTTAACCAACGTACCCTCTTATGACTGTACTCTTCCTTACTCGCCCAGGTATTACGACATATGTACTGCCGTGTAAGCCTTCTGATGGATCGATCTCGGCAGTGGTCGAGATGCTCGTCGCTATTACGCCTCGTGGGCACGATTATGGCTTGGTCGACCCCTTGTCATTCCTTTTAATGATAACCTACTTGTGGTCAGATTTTGACCCATACAGTTAGTCCCTCCGCCCGTTGGGGTCGCCTCTTGGCGAGCTCGATGGGCGGATTCCATTGTTTCAAAAATTAGGAGAAATCTGAAATTTATGTGAGGAACGAGGTCGTTGTGGCGAGGTAGCGACATGACGCTTCAAGAATTTCACTGAACCGTTACGTCAGTTCAAAGTTGGATCGTCACATCGATCCAGGGTACCATGAATACTTATTATGCCTCATTATGGTGCATGTTTCCCAGGCACCATATCGTTTCCTGTGCCCTTTCCATTTCCTGATTGGCGGCTCTTGAATTTCCCGCTCAAGACACTATGTCTCTATAAATAGGGGGAATCTCTCATTTGATTGTTGCACTTTTCAATTTGTCTAAGAAAGAAATTTGCAAACTTCCTCCTCCTTCTCTAGTCTTTCATATTTCTGCTTTCGCTAGAATTCATCGTGACCATTACCTTTTTTCCTTTACCGTTCTTGTTTAGTTCGATCAAGGAAGACAAATGGCCAGTGCTCCTTCTCAATCCGATAGAGCTGTTGGTGCTCCGGTGCCGGAAAATGACGTATCCCTATTCGAAGAAGTAGTGGAGGTGGTGGAAGACGAGGGATTTCGATGGTGGATGAGATAGTTCCTCGTTCGGGGAAAACGAGGACTAAATTTTTACAGCCCTTCTGGAAATGAATCGGAGACCGTTCGTTCCACTATGGATGATGCGGCGATCATGATGCTCAAAACCAAGTGGGGAATCCCTGATCATATCGAAATGGTGTCGGCGGGGAAGGACATAGTATATTTGCATCGCCCGGGCTACTGCGCGTTTTACGGGTACCCCTTTGTCATTGAGTACACACTCCCCCTTCCTTCTCTGGTGGTGAATTTCTACTGCTTCTACGAAGTGTGCCTGACTCAACTCTCTCTGTATGCGTACAAGCTCTTTCTTATGCTCATCAAGTATGCGGAGCTGGCCTGTCGAGGAATTTCCCTAGGGCACATGCTCCACATCTTCGCCCCTTATTTTCTTTGGGGTACGATGATTCATATGCGCCATCGAGGAACCAAGAGCTTGGTGGTGAAGATGGACGATAAGGCCAATTACCGCTTTTGGGAGAGCTACTTCTATGTGCGGACAAAGCACCTTGTGGCAAACTCGGCAGGATTTCCAGAGACGTGGAACTTCGCTTGTAAGTTTTCCCTTCGTTTACTTGTGATTTTTTCTTAAGATAGTCGTCGATCGTCTTCCTTTTAGAGACTTTGCTAAGGACTTGTTTTTTGCTTTGGCAGCCGAGAGACTACCTCCCCCGCTATTTGTCGATATCCGCGAGTGTGTGAGCACAATTCTCCCTCACACAGTGGAGATTCGTGAGTGGGCGCCTTTCCATGAGAAGTTTGGGCGCAAGCCTCTTACTGGTAAGTCGGCTTGTTGTAGTTTTGCTTTGTTCTCTGCTTCATAGTTTTTTTTAACCTTGTTGCTATATGATTTAATCCCTCCTTGTTGACAGGTCGGAGAGGAGTGAGAAGGACGAGGGCTCCTCCGCTAGCATTTCGTCAACCGGCTCCCTCTACCCTCTGCCCGGCCTGCGCCGAGGGCTGCTGCCCGACTTGCGCCGAGCACTATTGCTCGACCTGCGTCCGCTGCTGAAACCGTACGTTTGGAGGTTACTCCTCAACCGGAGACTCCGATCCCTGCAGTTCATCCAGTGAGTGAATCTTCCCGCGTGGGTAGTGGAAAGGCCCCGTCGAAGAGACGAAGGGTAGTGTTGGAGGAGGCTTATCCAGCTGAAACATCTTCAAGGGGCGACCTTGCTCCCGCGGTGCTCGAAACCGGAGGTGGTGCCAACCCAGCCGTGGAGACGATGCCCGTTGAGGTGGTTCCAACACTGCTGTTGCTATTTCGGGCAGCCCTTCGACATCCCGGCAAAACCGCACCCCTTCTCGAGAAATGAGAGGGGGAAGGGCGTCATGGTTGAGGATTATGAATCCGAGTCCGACATTGACCCTGAGGACATGAGGATGTTCGAGGAAGGCTTTACCCGAACCGTAGTAAGAGCGGGGGGCCCTTCCCGAATACTCGAAATTCTGTCGGATCTCAATCTACTGCAAGACACAATGGATTTTGTGCCACAATTCGATCTTCTATGCTCTTAATTAACAATGTACAGATAGCATGTAACAATAACGGGGTAAACAAGTTCAACTAAAGCATGGGAACAATTTAGCAAGTAGGATGTAGAACAAATACTAAACAAGTCAACTAAGGCGTTTAAGGATAGTCTAACACAATTAAGGATAATTTGACTATGAGAATTTTGAACATAATATAGTATTTTAATTAAAGCATGGAAATAGTCTAAGTAGCCTAAATCGATCAAATACTATGTACAACCCGTATACCCACTCGTCACCTCGCGTATACATACACAACTGAATCAAACAATACCAATCCTAAGGGGTAGTTTACCCACACGAAGTTAAGCAAGACACTTACCTCAACTAGGCCAATTCAACACTTAAAAATAGTTTTTCCCTTAAAATCCGCCTCCACACAGCTCAAATCTAACCAAAATTGACTGAACATCATCAAACAATGCTAGGGAATTCAATTGTAATAGACAAAGTTAAGATCTTCACATTTTTCCCAAAAAGTCAACAAAAATCAATCGAGGCTCGCCCAGTCAAAACCTAGATCCAATGATAGATTTCGTCTACCCATGACCCACAAGTTCATATATATGATTAGTTTCAAAATCCGAGTCTAAATCGACTTTCAAAACTCAATTTCTTATTTTTCAAAAACTTGACAAAGTTTCATAAATTTTTACTTTGATTCACATGATTTTAATTTTAAAATCCAAGATATGTTGATGGAATATGATTAGAAATAGATTAGAATCACTTACCTAAAGTTTGTAGGTGAAATTCCCCTCTCTAAATCGTCTCCTACCGAGTCTAGTGTTCACAAATATGAGAATGAGTTCAAAAATCCCGTCTCCCAGCACTTTAACCTGCTGCAGATGTCGCAATTGCGATACAAGGTTCACATTTGCGAACCCTAGAATTTGTGGACCAGGGCTCGCATTTGCAAACCCGTACAGGCTCAACATACATCGCAAATTGCAATAAAGCCTTCGCAATTGCAAACTGGGGAAACATCGCAAAATTAGACAAATTATTTACAGTTGCGAACATGACCAAATTTTGCTATCTTTGCAAATGCGAAGGTGAGGTCACATTTGCGACAACTGCCCATCACCTGTCGCCTTTGCAACTCGAGCCTGGTGTTCGCATTTGCGATAGCAGAGTACCAAACATCAGTTTCTGCAGATTTCCAGTCCAAAACACTTTCGAAACGTGTACGAAACTCATCCGAGCCCTAAGGGCTCCAAACCAAACATACACACAATCTAACAACATCATACGAACTCGCTCGTGCGATCAAAACACAAAAATAAAATTGAAAACTACGAATCGAACATTAAAATGCATGATTTTCAAAAAATATTTCAAGAACTTCTAGAATTACAACTAAACGCCCGAAACCTATCAAATCAACTCCAAACAATACCAAATTTTGCCGTCAAGTTTTAAATGCCATAACAGGTCCAAGTCCCAAAATCAAATTTCGAGTTTGATAGCTAAAAGTCAACCTACGGTCAAACTTTTCAACTTAAAATTGCCAAATTTCGGTAAATCACCACAAGTCAACCTACGGACTTCCAAAATCAGTTCTGGGCATACGCCCAAGTCCAAAATCACGACACGAAGCTATCGAAGTCATAAAAATACAGTTCTGGGGTCGTTTTCACAAAAGTCAAAGTTTGGTCAACATTTTCATATTAAAGCTTCTAAGTCTAGAACCAGGGATCCAAATCAACCCGAAAGCTTCCCGAAACGAAACTAATCAACCCTACAAGTCATTAAAGCAGAAACATACAAGTGTGAAGCAATAAAAGGGGTAACCGGGCGCAATTACACAAAAATACCGATCGAGTCACTACAAAGTTCCCAATAACTTTTAATTTGGGAAGACCTTTTTGCACTACAAATGCTGAACTACTTTTTTTATGACTTTGCAAAGCGTTGAAAAATACATTTCCCCCTTCCTTTCTAAGGTGCTTGAAAAGGTTTGTATATTTCAAAAAAAGAAAAAAAGTCGGCTAGGTTTTTAGGTTTTGATACTGAAGAATCATGAAATTACTATTATTACCTATAATAAATTTAGATATATCATGTAATAGACTATAGTTAACTTATGAATACACAGAAATCAAATTAAAACTTAAAATTTAAATACAACAAGCTAACATTTGGAAACAATAATAAAATGGAGATTAACTTGAGTGCTCTTATGATCATCATCAAAATTATTAAATTAGTTAATTATATCTAAATTTGCAAGTCATTCGAGATTGGGCCCGTGCGCAGCACGAGCTAACCATCACTAGTATCCAATATACACTAGAAATATCACATATTCATATACATATTGGTTAATCATCTCAGGCTGAAATAGAATAGAGAACAGATGAACCAAATATCACCTATTTTGGCATGTTATGCATAGCACGTGCACACATGCGTAAAAAATTTACCGGACACTCTATTTAATCTCCCTCATTTATCTTTTCCCACTTTTTAAAATAGGTTTATAGATAAAAGTTTTTGGGTAACTTCAGATAAGCTTTTCTTTTATTGTCTTTGTGGTTATGTCCCACATATCCAGGAGCCGTTTGATTTCTTCTCAACCTTTTAGTTGCAAAACACCATTTTAGGTTGGGATTAGGATTTCTTCTTTTTCTTCTTAGTTGCAAAATAGGTTTGTTATATTTGTTGTTGTTTTAATAATTTGATGATTGAGGTTTATTCTCTATGATATTTGAAACTTATGTTTTAAATTTGAGCTTATTTGAAGTAGATTTGGCATTGAATTGTGTGTTGGATTGTTGAATTTCGAAAAACAAATTTATGTTTCTGAACTTAAGATTTGATTTGTCAAGTTGCATTGAAGAAATAGAACTACTTAAGAATCGAATTTTTTGAAGTTGCATTGCACAGATAGAAGAACTTAAGATTCGATTTTTCTGAAGTTGCATTGAACAGAGAACCACTTAAGAGTCAATTTTTCTGAACTTGCATTGGAAAGAAGAAGAGCTTCTGATCCAATTTTGAAGTTGCATTGAAGAGATAAAACTACTTAAGATTCGATTTTTCTGAAGTTGCATTGGAAAGATAGAAGAATTTTAAACAGATTCTGAAGTTGCATTAAAGAGATAAAAGAACTTCCGAACCATGCGGATAAATTTATAAATTTATATGCAATAGGGATATAACTTCAATGATCGCCCCAAAAGTGGGTATCTGTGAACTTCTTGCGACACAGGCAGATTTAAAATTTAAATTTTATGGGCCTAAATTCTATAACAATGGTTTCAAGTGTAATAATTAAATTTTAGATTTAAATTTTGTACATATTTTGATAAATTCATAGTACAAATATAACATTTAGGATAAATCTAATGAATTCTATCGAAACCGTAAAGTATCTTATAGCTCTGCCCCTGGTGGATCAAAAGGTCCAGGGAAAGAAAATTTTTGCCCACCAAATTTTCTTATTATTCTTTTTCTTCCCTC